GTAATGATATACAGGGCGTTCTATTTTAAAAAATGGAATTTTGGTCTGTAGCACCTACACCAAACACCCTGTATATTTAAAAATTATATCAAAATATAGCTCTCATGAACTCCTGAAACTTTTGTATGAAACATTTTTGTGTATCTCCTTCAACAAACCAGATATTGCCTGTCACATAAAATGTGGGACACCCGGTATATTATATAAAATTTTTTTCTTCTTATAATCTAAGCTTGCAACCTAATATGTCTCAATGACGCTCGAGTAAATCCCTATTTTGCATCGTGGACTCCCCTGCTAATACATACGCTAAACTGAACTATTCAAGGTATTTTTCATTTTACCACATCATCATCAATATTTGCAACAAATTGAAGCAAGAGAAAAATCTAGAATGTCATTAAAAAATTCTCAATTTACAAGAACTTCAATTTCAGATTATCGGGACCATAGCAGTGATGAGGCATAAGCAAAAAGAGGATTGGGCGTGGTTGTTCAGACTTGCCGTAGACCAGAGGTAATAATTTAATGAGTATTCATCATTTCGTTATAATGAGACTTCACATCCTTATTTGACTAACACGCGAATAAAGAAGAAGTGAAATTTTGTCCCCCTAATTTTTTTCCCAAGGGTAAAACACAAGCCAAGTCACTTGAACACCTCCCGTGAAAGTATCTATAAAAGAGAGACTATCGAAGTTGCAGGTGATGCTTGTATCTCCAATCAGGTGGATGGATATTTTTTGGATGGAATCCATTCATGTGAATCATACTTTAAAGAACCGATCTGGGCTTCATAAAGCAACGATCATTGCTGGAGTTTGTATAGTTTTCTGGTTCGGAACAGTGTTTCAATCTTTTGAGAAGCAGCCTTTGCAATTCCAGAGAAGCAGAAAACGGAATTGTCTATCCTGGCATTATTATATTCTGTTCGGAGACATTTATCTTTTTGGAGAAAACCTTGGCGTTGAATTGAACCTGGCTACTTTCACCCCAATTCGAAATCACCTCTGCCGGTGAAGATGTGCATCTCCAGCCGATGTCCTAGAATCCAAATGGAATGACGAGACAAGTGTGCTGTCATCAGCAAAGCAGTATATTGGTTTCTTGGTTTTTTCCAATAAGTCGTTGATATACAATAAAAAGAGGGTTGAAGACAATTAGATCCCTGGAAAACACCATCGACGACCATCGAGCTGAAGAGCCATACAAAGAAATGATACGACAAGCCATAGCATCAAAGTTTGGCCAGCAAACCCTCATGCCACACACGCTCGAAGGCCTTAGAAATATCAAGCGCAACAGCTCTTGATTTTCCATGCTTCTCAACTGCGTTATTCCAAATATGGGTGACACACGACAGAAGGTCGCCTGTTGATCTTTTTTTCTGAAAGCCATACTGATGATCGTTCAAGATGTTGAAGCCTTCCAAATATTAAAGGATATGGTGTGTACATTTGTAAGGTTGAGAAGATGGCCATAGCACTCAAACAATATGATTCATTGAAACGATTATTCAATGTATAGGACAACCCAAGAGATGTTTGATGGACACAGGTAAAGAACACCGGTAAAAACATCAAGACAGGACGTTATCAGAAACTTGGGACAAACAAGGCTGACAGGTCACGTCAGAAATATAAATTATTGTTCCATTTCCAATAAGACAAAAATTGATTATAGGGAAAAATGATAGTAATGAAACTCACTTTAAAATGCATGAACTATTCTTGATTGTCGGATGATAGATATATATTTTATTTGACTACGTATACAGTGTGTAACAACGAAAACTTAACAGAGCCGTTTTTGAATAGAAAAAGTAAGTTTTTAAAAAAAGCTCGGACACGCCGATTTCTAATTGAAGGGGGACACCTTTCAGACTAATCAGATTGTTTGTAGTACGCACCCCCTCGGAGGGATGCGTCCGACGACCCTTATTTAGATAGGGAAAGTAGGTCGAGTGACACCTTGTTTTAAAGGTCTTTTGAATAGCCTTACATCTCTGTTAAAAGAAAATTTTTGTAACGATTAGTTTTCGAGATAATTTTAAGATTTAAAGTTATTTTTATTGAGTTCAACTCTTTTTAAAATAAATCAAATTGTTTTTAAGGTACAATTTACGTTCAGAACTTTCATAAACCTGCTAATACGTGTTCATTTGATTTCGTAAAAAAGGAAGAATTATTTTTTTATTACGAGGAGATTTTTTTCAGGGGATGGGGTTGGTTACCTTTTGACGTGGATATTTTATGCTTCTGATAAAAAAGTGAATCATACTAAAAACTTACCTACACAACGAATACAGCCTGCTGATTTCCTTGAATGCTGATGACAAAGACAAGTTTAAAAAACTGTTTTAGGGTTAATAAATCCCAATAATTGTTTTTAAAGCACACACAAAAAAAGTAACACCCAATAAGGGTAACTCACAAAGAAAATTTAGAGTAAATGTTCAAAATGTGCGCCATTTTGCTCCATGCAACAATAAAGATTTTGTTCGGCATTCATCAATAATTCTACGACGTAATTCATCCAAATTGGCTGGATGTGTAGCATAAACTTTAGACTTTAAATATCCCCACAAAAAGTAGTACAGTGGTGTTAAATCTGGTGATCGTGCTGGCCATTCAATTGGACCTCTTCTGCCAATCCATTGTCCTTCAAAATGATTATTCAAAAAATTTCGAACCTGCTGTGCATAATGGGGTGGTGCACTGTCTTGTTGAAAATGGATAAATTCATCTTGACATCTTGGATCCTGTTCAATTATTTCAACTATTCGAGGTTGTATTGCCTCTTCAAGAAGTTGTAAATAAGAATCACCGGTTGAATTTCCATCAATGAAAAATGGACCTATAATATGATTGCCTAATATTCCGGCCCAGACATTCATCTTTTGGGGATGTTGGGTATGTATTTCTGCGTATTGCCTTGGGTTTTCATCCGACCAACAACGGCAATTGTGACGGTTCACGCAACAATTTAAATAAAATGAGCTTTTGTCCGAAAAACAGATGTTATAAAGCAGCTCGGGATTGTGCATTAATCTCTCACTCATGCCCTCACAAAACTCCTGTCTTTGGTCAAAATCATCCTCATTGAGTTCATGAGCAAGTTTAATTTTGTAAGGATGGAATTTGTGGTTTTTAAGGATTCTCCATGTGTGCATATGGCTTATTGCGGCCATTGCTGATAAACCTCTGGTACTTAACCTGGGATTGGCGATGACTTGACCAATCACTCCAATCGCATTATCGTCATTCACTACCCTTCTCTGAACATTTCTTTTCTTATTTAAAACCGAACCTGTCTCCCTGAATTTTGTGACCAAATCCAGAACGTGATTTCTGCTTAGGTGTTTATCAGGGTTTTGCTCGTTAAATAAAATTGATGTTCTATTAGCATTTTGGTCATTGCCAAAAAATAAAGCAATAACTGTAACCCTTTCAGCAGAAGTGTAAGGCATTTTTAAACAAATAACAATACACGACCCGTTTAAACAAAACAATCGAACGATGTACTAATGAAAAATGGAAGAAGAGGAGTGGGTATTAATTTTAAAAAAGGGATTTCATTTAACAGAAAACTGACAAGAAGAACTTCTCGATTTTTTTTTTATTTAGGCATACAAGTTACCGAGTGGTCTGTCTAATGTATTATTAACATGGCAATTTTAACTTCAAATTATCTCGAAAACTAATCGTTACAAACATTTTCTTTTAACAGAGTTGTAAAGGTATTCGAAAGACCTTTGAAACAAGGTGCCACTCGACCTACTTTCCCTATTTAAATTAGGGTCGTCGGACGCACCCTTCCGAGGGGGTGCGTACTACAAAAAATCTGATTAGTCTGAAAGGTGTCCCCCTTTAATTAGAAATCGACGTGTCCGAGCATTTTTTGAAAATCTTACTTTTTATATTCAAAAACGGCTCAGTTAAGTTTTCGTTGTTACACACTGTATGTATAAAACATTTGTAGCAAGTCAGGTGATGAATGAAACATTTGAAATTGAATAATACCTAAATAAAATAAAAACATTAACACCACAGTATAACGAAAACACAAGGCATCCAAAAGGGGTACAATAATTTTTAAAATACATTATTACAAGCAGCACTGTATAACAAAGTACAATAAAATTTCTGAAAGATATGATTACACGCACTTTCGTTTAAAAGATAATTCCAGGCATTACCATGGAAGCAGCCATTTATTAATCTATACTATAAATACCTTCATCAATGAGAAATTTTTTATGCCCTTTTGAAAACGTGTCTGTGATAAGACATAGTTATGAAAATGGAAGTTAGTTAAAAGAGTGCTATTAATTTTATGAACCTCCAGCAGTGACTGAAAAATGAAAATCGATGGAAGAGTAATGATTCCCAATTTTTTGAACAATAGACGACATGTATCCCGATATTCCGCATTAGAAATTATCCTTATTGTTTTTTTGTGTTACAAATATCTTTCCAGCAGAAGTAGAATCACCCCAAAGAAGTGTCCCGTAGCTGATGAACGAGTGGAAAAAGGCATAGTAGACAGCGAGAAGAGTGTCAATAGAAACAAATTTTCTCAATTGCCTCAACAGAAACAGATATTTGGATAATTTCGTATTTAATTCATCAATCTGACATGACAATTAAGGGAGTCATCCAAAGTTATACCAAGTAATTGGGCTGTTTTTCTTTCCAAAAGCATGTTATTGGAAGAAAATATCAGTCTCTGGGTTTTTCCAATATTAAGTTTGAGAATATTTGCATTGAACCATTTTTCAGCTTGGATTTCAGCAAGTTCAAAGATTTTCAATAAATTTTTGTAATTTTTGTCAAGAATCATAATAAGCCTAGAAGATAATAACACACATTATCGAAACATAGGACTAAAAATACTGTTACTTCTTCCCGTAGATTCGACAATAATTGACTGCACAAATAAACTCAACTTTATTTTGCTTCTGCACTGCCAATATAACACAAAAGCTTTATCTGAACTTCAGACTAATACTCGAATGTCTGTCTATCGCATGGTAAGCTCATTTCGTACCGCACTTTCAACTAGACTTCCCCTGTCTGCCTGTTGGTAGTGTTTATATATCGTAATGGAAGTCTCTGGGCGCCGATAAAGAAGTCTCTCGAAGCGATGCGACATCTAGAACGATTGCGAAGCGCAAGTCGAATTGAGCGCAACCTTGGCCAAGTTACAGTCGATCGACAAAGGCCAGCGGCGGCCGGCGTTATTTTTTTTCCGGGGATAATTTACAACAATACAGTTCGTTCTATCTCCATTCTTGATTACCTTCGCTCGATACACGTCAAACAGTTATATACAATTTTTGGCGAGGAACACTCAGCTCAGCAGGCTAATTTTTGACTAGGAAGCTATTGACAGTAATATTGTGACTTATTTCAGATACCGACGGAAGGGCGTAGGACTAAAACTAATCAATGTGGTTCAGAACTGGTGCAAGAATAATCGATTCAACAATATTGAATTGGTGATGTCGGAATGCCAAGAAGGGGCCAGGGAACTCTTCGATGCGGCAGGGTAATGAAATTATAATATATACTAACCATTCACAAATGATTTTTATTACGATTGTCTTCGGCTTTGTTAAAGAAGATTTTGGTTTCAGGTTCGAAATGAAGCAGTTGTACCACAAAAAGCTATTTACAAGCGCAGTAACGCTTCAAATGTTCCAGTTAGGATGCGAAGTTAGATCAACATTTTAGTTTTAATATAAGTAAGCTCAAATAGTAAATCACATCTAGGTGCCATGAAGAGAATATGGCAGTGTTCTTTCACATGACTGAATAAATATTTTGTTACACTTTATTTTTAAATAAAAGCCAGAATGGATCTTATATAAGAGTTTTTCTCGCCTAACTTCACACCATCGGAAATTATATTTATGTAGCAATGAATGGTTCGGAATAGTGTTCCAAGTTTTTGAGAAGCAGCCTTTGCAATGGGTTTGTTTCATGATTTTCAGTGTATAGTTCACTTGATAGAGATTTTAAATTGAAAAACAGTGCACTTTGTTTTATCTCTCTAAGTACCGTAGTTTTTCCGTAATTAATTATTAAAGATCGAATGTGGTAGGCCGGTGACGTCACGCCCCTATTCCCGCTTCTTGTTCGATTGGCCAATAGGAACAATAGAAATAATCAACATTGCCAAATCGTAAAATTTACGAAGCCTATAATCATCAATATAATTATGGAAGTTGTAATAACAACAAAATGGCGTCTGTCAAATTGGATCATCAGATCTGTGATTGGATATTAAAAACCAATACGCTTGGCAACTCCGCTGTAGACACGATCAATTTTATTGGTCAACAGACACGCGGCCAATTTAAATTCTTGCTTTTCGAATTATTCTTTTTTCTGGAAATATAAAGAGATTTTGGGACCGAATAGACTTGATAAGTATAATATACCCCTAACTCGATCAGTCTATAAGCAAACCAATCATTTTCCATAGCATGAAAAAGCCTATTCCAGTGACATGATTGTTCCAAGACATATTGGTGAAAGCGAAATTATCTAACCTGACATTATTAGGTATATCCGGTTCGTAAACATTTATCTTTTTGGAGAAAACCGATGCCTGGGTGGCATTGAATTGAACCTGGTTGCTTTCACTCCAATTCGAAATTACTTCTAGATCCTCATTTATATGCAACTTCCTGATGCCTGTGAAGATGTCTTAGAAGCCGATGTCCTGGAATACAAATGGATGACGAGACAAGTGTGTTGTCGTATTCTAAAAAACACTTTATTGTTTGATTTGCACTAGACAGTTTTACACGTGTTTCGCCATACAATGGCTTCCTCGGGCGTGCCTTAATACACGCCCAAGGAAGCCATTGTATGGCGAAACGCGTGTTGCGTTTTTGTAAAACTGTCTAGTGCAAATCACACAATAAAGTGTTTTTAGAATACGTTAGTTATGGATTTTCATCAAGTATGGGCCGATTCCATCATGTAAGTGTGTTGCATTCAGCAAAGCAATATATTGGATTCTTGGTTTTTTCCAATAAGTCGTTAATATTCAATAAAAAGAGGGTTGAAGACAATATGGATCCCTGGGGAACACCAGCATTGATGGTGAAAGTATTCGGGAGATATCCATCGACGGCCACTTGCATGGAACGTTCTTTCAGGAAGGTGAAGAGCCATTTACAAAAATGATCTGACAAGCCATAGCATCGAAGTTTCGCCAGCAAACCCTCAACCCACACACGGTCAAAGGCTTAGAAATACCAGTCGTGAGTAATTCTTCATTTTTATCATCATTCGGCCATATTTGTGATAATTTCATTTACAACCACAAATTATTGTTGTAAATCGACAATAATTATTGCTAGGAATTAACAATGCGGAAAGTTTTCTCCTCTTTAGTTTTTTTTTTTCAATTTCTTAAATTCTTTATAATTTTTGAAATGTTTGCAAAGACACGAATATTTTTTTTAAATCTCAATTTGTGTGTGCTAGAAAACAACTTTAGCACATTTTAGATATCAATCGGGATCGCACGTATTTTTCTGACTACTATCTCTATTTTACACCAACTTATGAACAAAACTAGAAACCAAATTGAATTTTTTATGAAATTTATTGGGGGAAATGGTCATTGACTACACGAATTCATAAAAAAAGTTAATATGGAGGAAAATATTACTTTGATTTTTTTTCTCCCTCTTCAATTGGCAACCCTAGCCATCCCAATCTCCTTTATTATGAAAAAAACAAATTTACACTTACCTATAATCCGGTTCTGCTATCATAAACACGTTCCCCAATTTATGGAAGGCACACAAAATCGCGGGTAGGCACAGCAAAAAGTAGATCCGTCTCTGGTATCGGCCGAAATCTCCGAGCAGGGAGATTACGTCGTCGTAGCCCATTTTGATACGGAGACTGGAACAAAACGCAACTAAATAATGATAAGGCTATTTTTAAAAGTCTAGGAAGCTGTAAGTCGAGGAAACGGGCTATCAGCAGCGACAGAAAACGAAAGATTCTTTCGAGATTCGTTGGTTTACGACAAGAAATTGCCGGTAATAGGATGATTGGCTTTATATAGAGGTGGCGATGGTTACGTTAAACAACTGCCGGTGACGGGTTTACCGATTGTTGACATTTTTGCACTTTATGGATCGATTATCAAGTAGCCTGTTATGTGACACTACTAGTCTAGTTAACGAGTGCCATTTTATAGAAAATCTTTCCTAGACTGAAAATTTCGATTGAGGTGTCATTGTCATTGGGTCTGAAAACGTTACTAAACTTTTGAAAGTCGGCTAACATTGCAAAATGTTGTAGACTATCACAAAAAAATGGCGGTATTTTTTGGAAAATATTGAAGTTACCTGAAATTTCAGAAAAAAATCCTATAAGATCAGGAAATTAAGAAAAAAGTCTCAACTATCGGAAGTGTAGCGCCGATTTTTATAATTTTAATTTAGAAGGAAAAGTAGAACTCAATATCGGGAAAATTAATTAAAATGGATATTATTAAGACACTAATGAACAAATGTTCGACCCAATAAAATGTTAATTATGCAGTTTGTTAATTATTTAAGTAAGTTTTTACTAGTTGCAAGTTAATATAGAAACTCAGATAATTTTCAAATTGAAAACCTGGGAATTCCTCAATTCTTGGAGCTTCTTGTTTATGAGCTTAAGAAAATTTGAAAAAGTGGCTCTTCACTTTTTTATACTTGACCAACTGCGCCACGAAAGCGCACGAAAAACGGTGGAAAACGCACTGAAAACGGTCGAAAACGCACGGAAAACGGTCGAAAACGATCGAAAACGCACGGAAAACGGTCGAAAACGCACGGAAAATGATGTACTTTATTGCTTTTCGGCATAGTTCATCTACTAACGCGTCACCTTGAAAGGAACCAAAAATTGCAGAATGGACCTTAGCAATTTCCCATGTTAATCTCCAAAAGGAATGGGCTAGAACTCCTATAGCCTATTTACTTCAAGCATCACATCTAATTTGAGTTCATCACTCACTGCATTGGCAGCAGTTTTTTTTATCCGCCCCACAGGATCAATTTCGCGGAACTGCTTATCAATTTTGCTTATTGTTCCTTGAGATATGGGAGGTAATTTAGGAAATTTCTAATGAAATAGGCGAGCTACTTCCTGTTGTGTTCGGGTTTTATCTCCGTAACCGATCATTTGTAAAACTGTTATTTTATGCATTTCCGTTAATCTAACCATTTGTCAGACTTGAAGTTAACGAACTTTGAACTTAAAAACTTAAAATACTGAAAACTAATGCTGTAACATACAAAACAAGTTGACAAGGCGTTTTAAACTAACGTTGCCACAGAAATTATTTACAGTTTTTTAAAGGATACCGCCTAAAAAAACATTGCTATGGTTTTTGCTTACTTTCTTATTATCAATACCTCAACATGAAATAAGTTTTGAATATACTGCAATAAGTTTTGAGAGTATTTTATGGAATTTCGGTAAGTACATGATTTTAACTTATTTTATCTTAATTGTTGCAATAAACTTGAAAGCGATAACATTTCTGGATACAGAATGAGGAGACCTTTCAAACGGCATATCACAAGCCTATACTTCCCATTTAAAAAGTTGGGGGTTGTACCTGTCATTCAAAGAGGGTTGAAGGTAGGGATACCATTTTCCCGTTGAATTATGTCAAATTATATTTGACGTGTTTCGGGATTTAGTTGAAATTTGTACCGTAACGGAAAAAATGAATTTATTCCATTTGGCTTTTACACACTGTATGGTGAATTCAAATGGAACCGGTAATTTATCTAGGTCATTAAGATAAATAATAAATAATATGCGGCCCAGTACAGAGCCTTGAAGTATCAAAATCATAAAAATTACCGGTATACAGTTTTGTAGTTTCAGATACAATTCCGAATCGAATTTTAGATCCGGAGGACAAGTATTCGATGAAAAGATTCCTGTGAACTGGACTATCATAAGCTACTAAGTAGTCTGTTATCTGAAACTACTTATTTTTGAGCGATTTATTCGATTGTTACTTGCGGTTCGAATGTTCAATAAGATTGCCAGAACGCGATATTAATACTCAACACTGAAATAGTTAAATAGTTAACAAACCATGTTTGAAGACTATCTGTTTAATAGCAAATAAATTGTCAATGATTCGCATTTAATTTAAACAGTAAAATAATTCACTAATCCACTGATATATTTGAAAAATCAATGCTCTTGAAACATTACAAGGAAAGGGAGAGAAATATAGATATCATCATTACTACGACTGAACACAACTAAAATACAGAACGCATTCACGTTTCTATTCAAGGTCTTTCGGCGATCTAATATTCAAAATGAATTATCTATCACGATTCTAAAGAAGGCAGGCATTCCCATTCGCTCGCAAAATGAATTAAATATCAGTCTGTTTCGATAGTTTTGTCCGTTTTCATGTTATGTTTTTGTAGTTCCATATCTCAATAAATATTTATTCTACTGTGTCGATAGAGAATATTGAACTCCATTCCAAACATTGATGCAGTTAATTTTTTCGAAATTTTGATTTTTTTGCCCCTTTTCAACATATATATTACCTCAAATGTTACCTCAAACAATCCTATCATTTCTTTAAAACATTTTTCACTAATTGAAATCTGCAATTCTCTCAACAAACTAAAACCAAAACTCAAAAGCGGGGATGATAACATACCTAGCTTTTTCGTTAAAGATTTCGTTAAAGATCTTCAATCTAGCACTGAGTACAGGATGCTTTCCTAACAAATGGAAAATATCAAAAATTTGCCCAATTTTCAAAGCTGGTGCCATAAACAATATCCAAAACTACCGACCTATAA